TATGCGGTGGAGAGTCACATCATGGATATGCAGCTGACAAATTTTCAGCAACTGTGTGATGTGATTATGTCACTATGGATCAGATCTCTGAGGAATGTTTCCAGCACCTTGTTGAATCTATGCCGCAAAGAATTCAAGCAGCTCTGATAGCAAAAGGGGTCTAACCCAGTCCTAGCAAGTTGTACCTAATAAAATGTCCACTGTAAACTTGCCATTAAAAATGGTTTTATACTTGCAGTATTTGGAAAAGTTTTTGAGTCATTTACCATTAAAAAGTGCAACTTTTGCTGGTATGAGACCAAAAGTAAAATGAAATACAGACAGCAGAACAGAATGACTAAAACATATCCGAAACACCACAAGGTGTTACAATCATTTCTTAAAATTCTTTCAATATGCTTCCTTTATCATGTAACACTTATCTCAGAATTGTAGCTGGAAGTCAAATTAATAAATCTTGACACTGATAGACACTGACCCCAATCATCAGGTGGACTTCATGGCCCAGACTGAACATCACTGCTGTGCTACAACCCTCCTCATGGTAATCCTTGGTGGAGTAAAAATCTATCTTGATCAAAGACTGGAGCTGAAACAGAGAAATGTGTGACCATTTCTGCGTTGCTGAAAGAAAAAAACCCAATATTGCTTGTGCATAAAAAGAGTTTTTGACCTTAACTTACCTCCTTTAGAGCTCCGACATCCATTTTTTCAATAGCTGGAACGACAAAAGACAGAGATCAAACAATGGCTTCGAAAAAACAAAACAAAACAAAAAACTTAGCAGATGTGGGGCACACAAGTTTTTATACCTGACTCAATCTTTGCCAAGGAAAGGTTTGTAATGTGGAAAAAACCATCCTTAATGAGAAGGAACATGTGGTACATTCCTGCCAATAATAAACACACAACATGAAAAAAAACAAACAAGCAAACATAAACCTGACATGGCAGCTAGAGCACTGCTTCTACATCCATTTATATTTCCAGGACATGTTAATTTCTCATAAGGCACTGTTCTCATATCACCTGAGGATGCCTTGTCTTCATCCATGATGAGATAGCAGTAGGTTTTCTTATCTCCATTTGGTTTCTCAACCAAAGCCTTCAATTTCAGAGGATACATAACATGTTAATGATGTAACACTAAATGCATCACCAGGGTTTAGTTTTTACTGCTGCTACTGTCCTGTATACTTTAGCTTTATTATTCAGACATGCATAAGACTAGATACGATTAGATAGGATAAGAGTTAAGGCCTTAAAGATGAAAACAACCACACACACCCGGGTTAAGAGGATCCTCTTTTGCGGAACGTAGATCAAATGAAGGTTTCCATTTCTTTCACAAACTACCAGAAACTTTCCCTTCAGGCACACGTCAATGGCGTCCACATCAGTTTCTGGAAAGAAAACCTTTGTTTATTTATACTTTTTAAAAAAATGTATATTTATTTATACTTTACAGATGCCTCAAAACGATTTTTAAAGAGATTTTTATGCAGCCACACAAATGATGCTTACCAAAGTTAAGAAGCAGGAGGATGCTCTGATAGCTCTGATCAAACAGGATGACTGTCCTGTCAGCAACAATAAAACTCCAGTTTGAGCCGCTCGAGGACGTGAGATTGGGATCTGCCTGCACCTGTAAAAACCCAGGTTTACTAAACCATGCTTAAAACACTAATACAGGCCCAGGAGTCTTTGCCACAAACCCCTTGGCATGAGTGTGTGGTAAATATTTACATCAGTCACCTCATTAGCACTGGAGACTTTGACCAACGTGTCCACCTGATACAGGCCACTGCTGTTTTCCTCCCGGGACACACCATCGAAACGGACTGTATTTGTATCTTCGTTGGTCAGAAGTTCAACTTCGCTCCACAGCGCCATTTTCAGGAGCTGATATAGGAAAGGATATCTTAACTTGCCTAGCAGCTAGCTGTCATTAATCAGGTTATAATACCAATGCTAGCTATTTAGCAGAGATTTACAAATAACAATAAAATATAAGGCAAACAATGGAATGACTTTTTTATTAAGGAGATATAACCGACAGCAACTCACCAGTTTACTGTAATACTTAAACAGTTATAGCAGAGAGAGCCGACATAACGCCACCGTATTTAGCTTTAGAATTTGGCGGGTTGATGTAGGTTGTTAGGATTGAGTTGTTTGTGGTGATTGTTCCCAGAGTTTTGCCTGTCAGATGCAATGTCCTTACAGTAAAAGGTAAAAATCCAGAGGTGGCTGTAAATTTAGCAGTAACATCCCACGCGACACTCAGTAATCTATTATAAAATGTTCAATGCAATGTGTCTATGATCCAATATGGCTCATTTAAATGTTTAAGATAATTTGACCTGAGATTAAGAGACGCCTGAAAGGCTAAATCGAGGATAAAATCAAACAAATATAGAGGCGGGGCATTGCAGGAATATCCGGCGAGTCTTTTGTGTTGCCAGGTTTGGTGATTTACGGCCGCATTTGACGCAATGCTTAAACTTTAGGACTCATATTGCCATGTTTACATTTTTACAAAAAACGTGTATTTTTTTAAGAACATAACAACAAAATAAATAAATGCAACAAGTTAAAAAAAGAATAAGACAAAAAGGATTATAAGAATACAACTATATGTTTTTGTAATAAATGTTTGCTGGGTGTATAACCAATGACTATATAAAAGTAATTATGTCTTACAGTATTATACTATTTGTTTTGTATTTAAGTCAAAGTATATTATTATTATTATTATTATTATTATTATTATTATTATTATTATTATTATTATTATTATTATTATTATTATTATTATTATTTCGTTTCTTAAGTTTGGCATTTACCTGAATCAGGGCGTCAAGAGGCTACAACTGGCAACCCAGATCAGATAAGCTGAGCTAGTCAAAGGGCCTCAGTAGTAAGCTACCTCTCTACCTTTTCGTCTTCGTTCACAAAGGCAACAAGAAAATCGAATTTAGGCACAAATATTATACTTCAATATAATGTCGGTAAGTATTGTCGTGTTATTGTAATGTTGTACGGACATGGGTTTGATAGCCGCTTCGTAATTTTAGTGGAAGTTTTCGGTTGTATTCATGATATTTTTCTCTGAAAGATGGCGCCTAGCGTGTGTTAGCTTAGCGGTCGAGCTAACGATAAAATTACTCCAAACATCACTGCGGTGAAGGCATGAAGAACGAAAACGGAGCGATTTGGCTGCCGTAGATTACGTGATTGGTTTCTAGCTATTCATTTCACGTGGTCACTAGAATCCACACATTTAATCCAATACAACAGCAACACAGTAGCACAAATGACTGATATGGCTAACTATGAATTAACACTGCAGTGACCCATGGTATGTCTCATCTGCCGAAATGACTGCACTTTGAAAACGGCTGTGCTTTAGTGTACGTGAGCCACACAATAAAAGGCATTATATCGTGACATTTAGTGTAATACTGCAGTATTGAAGGATGTTAAATAGGTACTACGGTATGATAATAAATGCTGAGCAATACTTAAAATAAAAAGCATAAAATAAAAATAAAGTTGTGCCTGTGGAAACACACAACATGAAAAAAAACATTATACCTGACTCAATCTTTGCCAAGGAAAGGTTT